TCAAACTATGGTAAACATTTTTCAGGATAACTACGGATTCATTTTGAGTGCTAGTCAAGATTAACCTTGGAAGATACTGTTGTTGTGCTAGCTTTTTTTTTATTTACTATGTAAGACCTCGCCACTGTAAATTTATCCTATCAATAGATGTATATATGTTTTGTTCGTCTCATCTCAGGAATAATAGTATTGTAAATTCTTGGGGTGTGACAGTTTGATGCTATGTGAATAGCGGCTTGATTATCACAATGGAGCTTAATTGGAGTGGAGTTTTTGAAACCAAGATTCTGAGGAAGAGTCTTCAGCCAGATGAGTTCACACGCTGTAGAAGCCATAGCCTGGTATTCAGCCTTAGCACTAGATCTAGTTACAACATTTTGTTTGTTACTCTTCCACCTGACTAAATTTCCTCCAACAAAAATACATAATTTCGTAGTGGATTTTCTATCAAAAGGATCTCCTGCCCAATCAACATCACAATATCCCATAATAGTAGTATGGCCATTTTTTTTCATTAAAATTCCATTCTTTCAAGAACTTTTGAATTATTATTACTATTATTACTATTATTATTATTACTATTACTATTACTATTACTATTACTATTACTATTACTATTACTCTATTACTATTACTATTACTCTATTACTATTACTATTACTATTACTATTACTATTACTATTACTATTATTACTATTACTTTTACTATTATTATTATTAGTATTATTACTATTATTATTACTATTATTATTACTATTATTATTACTATTATTATTACTACTATTATTACTATTATTACTATTATTATTACTATTATTATTACTATTATTACTATTATTATTATTACTATTATTATTATTATTATTATTATTGCTATTATTATTATTATTATTATTATTACTATTATTATTATTATCACTATTATTATTACTATTATTATTACTATTATTATTATTATTATTACTATTATTATTATTTATTTTTTATTATTATTTTTTATTATTATTACTTTATTTTAATTTAATATTATTTATTATTATTCCTTATTATTTATTTATTTATTTATTTATATTATTATAATTATTATTATAATTATTATTATTATTATTATTATTATTATTATTATTATTATTGTCATCATCATCATCAATAAAAAATTTATATCAAGTCACACAAAAAAATATGGATGACTAGCATTTTGTAAAACAAAGAGATCAAATTTGTAAAAAGAACAATGAAAAACATAATTAGGGGGGCCAATGGTCCCAAAGTTTTAAACTTGATGGGGCTCAGGAGATTTTTGTTAACCCAAAGGACTAATAAGAATGGAAGTTTCGAGGAGGGGGTTAGAGCTTATTTTCCCATAATAATATTATATATAATAACATGATGCATATCAAACAACTAGCATAATAATTTAATTAGAGTATTAATTTTAGATAATATATTTTCCAAATAAAGTTATAGTCATCCAAATAGATAGAAGGTAATGAACTCAACTTCTTTACGCTTAGCCAGCATCTGGCCAACTCTGGTTTTCTAAAATCTGATGTTTTGAAAATGAACTATAGCATCTTGAGTGCCAGACATGTTAGGAAGGGCAATTTGTTCAAGTAGAAGGCTCTAAGATGGCAAAAAAAAAAGCCCAAATTGACATGAATGACAGTAGTGAGACGAGATATATGATTTATGGTCTAACCAAGGGTATGACCCTTAATAGAATAAAATGACAGAACAAGATTCTTATAAAAAACATCGAATAGTTGGTATAAAGCATTGATGATACGACGGTGGCACATTCTTAATACATGTCATATCTTAATACATGTCATTGATATGTAGTAAATTGGTAATGTTTTATTGATATGTTGTGGCACATTTGATACGTGTTACAACTAGGAAAAGTATAAAAAGGGACTATTTATTTTTAGTACAAAGAGGTCACAATCATTTTTGTTAATCAAATTTTAAATCTGATGATTGTAGGTATGTTATTGACTAGAATCGAAGTTAACAAAAAAATTATTTTGAACTTATCACACCTCCTAAGCCATGAAATTTGACATCTAAATGCTAGGTGTGATTGTGACCACCTTGCAACAATGGTCAATGGTCTCATAGTATACAATCCCGAATGACAATTAGTGCAATTGATAAGTGACCACTCTTATTGATATGTGGTCCTATTTTATTGAAGTGAGTAATTCTGTTTTATGTGCATGGTTGTGTGCTATTGATTTTTATATTTTTGGTGAATGGTTTGTGGGCATTGATATGTGGCTATGTTTTATTGAATTGATGGTAGTATGTTATTTGTATGTGCTATTCATATGATGGTAGTTTGCCATTTGATGTAGTAAATCTATTATACGACTATGGATATGCCAAAATTTATATGATCATGCAAATGTGATGGTGATATTATGATTCACATATGACGAGTTCTGATATTTATGATTTGTACCTTATTATGGAATTTTTACAGTTCAAAAAAAAAAAACCTTATTATAGAATTTTTCAATTATGAATGTGGCAGACGCCCTTTTATTGATCCCACTGAGCTCCGTACATTATACACTGCATTATCTGTTGTGTAGGTTGTGTTTAAGGTGTCTTATTATGGTATATCACTCCATTCTCTCTGTATACTTAACAAAAAGCATCAATGTATCTGCTTCTATCTGTATCCTTCATTCTTTGTTTTTGGGGTGAGTAAGTGCGGAGCGGAAGTGAGCCGAGGTTATAGCGTTGTAAATTGTTGAGTGCTAACCAATTAACCCCAGGCTCTTTTTTTAAGTATCACTTCATTCATCATCATCATCATTATCCTTTTAGCGTTTTCTCAATTAATTGCAGCGACTACATGAATCTTGGTTCTCCATTCCAAAGTATCACTTCAATAAACTTTGTAATATTTTGAAACAAATATCCATATTTCAAGTACAATATATATGTTGTCGAAGATCAAATAATCATATTCTTGGAAATTGTGGACATAAACAACGTATAGTGTGATGTAAATTGTTTACCAGCATTCCAAAGAGCAGTTCAATAAAGTTATGGCATTCTGGCATTGGGACGAATTTAACTAATGTTTCAAGGAAATAATTGTCATCCTGCGGGGTTCAGAGGAGGCAGCACCCGAGGGAAATTTTTGTATCCGTACATGGGGGTTTTTTCGGTAATTTGTATCATCTACTTGTGACTCTATATATTGTAGCGATGGGGTTATTTTTTAGGATTAAAAAAAAACGTATATTTCTTTGTAATCAGAGAGAACATAGAGGCGTGAGGAAGAGAGCTATTGTAATCCTTTTCTCCATTGCCAGTAAAAAAGCTATCATCTCCCGTGGACGTAGGCACGTTGCGGAACCACGTATATCTTTGCGTTGTGGTTGGTTGTTTCTTTACTTTGTGTTTGTTTCTTTTTTCTTTTTTTTGTGGATTGCTTTTAGGGTTTTTTACAGTTTTAATTCATACTTGCCACATGGGAAGGATCTGTTGAAGACTAATAGGCTGACTAACCCATTAAGGATGCCCCTAAGTAGGGCTGCTAATGGGCCCGGGCTAGGCTGGGTTCGGGTTGCATTTAAAGGCCTCAGACTGGGGGCCGGGCTGGGCGTGGTAGCCCAAAATATTTTCGGGCTCCAGGAATAGATTAGCATTAGCTCAGGTTGAGTTTGGCTCGAAATTTATTAAAGGAAATTTATTACATCTATTAAATATTTTTCTCGTATTTATATAGGGACTGTCCTGATTTTTTATAGCCAGGGCCTCGTTACCATGAATACTGGTTGGGCCCAGCCCTGGCCTTTGACATAATTTTCAGGCCCGAGAGCAGCCATGTTTCACAAGAACTGCATGAATTAGTAACAAAGACCAGTTACTCGAACTTTTTCCTTTATGTTTGATTGGTGGAAGAGCTGCATCTCTTCCACAAGCTTTGAAAGCCATAGCTTTTGACTTAGCGTGAGAGCAGCAGCATCGCCATTTAAGTGCATATTAACTCTGTTTTGGGAGCCTCGGGAGGTTCCAAAACAGCTTAGCACATTCGTGAACAAACACGGGAAGTGCTATGGTAATTGGCAGCCGCTTCTTCCAGTTATCAAAAACAACATAAGTTTTGTGTTGGTTGGCCTTTGCAGTCTGTACGCACTAGTGCACACGAACAAAAGCATATGTTTTGAGTCCCTGCGTACACATCTTGCGAGTGTAAGAGTTTATAAGGAGTTAAAAAATCATGATACACATCACGACACATTGTTTTTGGTATTGCTTTTGAAGAAACGCCTGTTATCCATTGTTTGTGGTAACTCCTGTTATTTCCGCTTCCTTAAATTTTATTTGTGATTTACTTGGACTCAAATTCCAGTTACTCCCATATGACAATCATTACAATTACGTAGCCGAAACGATCCTTAGCCATTAAGGTATGTTCCAATGAATTTTACAACCTTGGTTTTAATTCCAGTTATGTTTCGTTTGTTATCCTCTACCAAAAGGACATTGAATGCAATTGCCAGCGTCTGATAGCCTGTCATACCCAAAATTTCAGCTGAATCAATCCAAAGCTGGTGTAAACTCCAGCATCTTATACAAGTTTTCCTATGAACTGAAGTAAAGGGATTGTTTTTCTTTTCTGATACTGAAATGTTTATCCAAATCCTAAACTTCGCTTAGAATTTTTTCAACCTGTGTAAGAAACAAATGCATCAGTAGATACATGAGATAGTGACGACAAAAGCTATAGGCATGAAATGGTCTGTTGAAAGATGTACATCCCAAACAAAAAGCTTCCATCTTAATACATAGTGGATGGAATGAAGCAAATGACAAGGACTTGGGCCAAAGAGCTTCCATCTCATACATGTGCATCAGCAGTCATAAATATCATGTATGGGGTTAAGCGTATGACAAGGATTTGGGGTAGAAGCTGCTTGCTTTCTCTTTGATTTGCCCCATCCAAGCGCGCGTATCTTATAAAACACCTTCAAAAGCCTATTAGCATATTTCCTATGAGATACCCAACTCATGGAACCAATGCAACTACTCACATGGCCTAATGGCTTACCCACCCTTCTAGACTCATCCAAACAAACAGACTCTTTTGTTGGGTTCCTCCATTGAAGCTTTGTTTTCAGGGACATAATCTCCTCTTCCAACTTTTGAACTCTAAAACTTGTTGATTCGTACTCTCGTCTCATGGACTCTGATTGATCCTTGATCATCTCCCTTTCTAAAAGAGAACCCAAAGGTGCACCGTCAATGCCTTCATCTTCTCCCTCTATCCCATTTTCTGATGGTTTGTAAGGGCTATCCCTTTGGTTATTGGGCTTTTGATATATCTGCCCCAATTGGCTTCCAGAGAATTCAGAGGAATGAGAGATGTATCGAAAAGAATCAGAGCAATCCTTAAATACCCGATGGTTTTTGAGCTGTTGAGCAAAGAGAGCTTGGATGATCAGTCGTAAAGGCATGAACTCATTTCTAACAGCTTGAATGCATGTCTCTTGAGATAGTTTTTCACAGTTGAGGTGTCTGCACACACATATCTTCTCATGCTGAGATGCATCAGGGTGCGACTGATACAAAACAGAAGTTAAACTAGTTAGAGATCGATGGTGATAAAGAGAAGAAGATCAATAGAACTAACACAAAAATACCCAGATGGTTCAAATATTTTAAATGAAAGAAATTGATGGGTTTATTAATCATCAAACAAAGAGAAGTAGATTATGGAGCTGAAGCTAAAAAATCTGAGTAGTTTTATAAGAGAAGTCCATAGACTGGAACCTAAATGATCTAAGAGTATAGAATTCTTTATATAAAAGAATACTGAAAGATACTAATCGTTCCAGCACTCATAGCACGAAGAGCAGGTCCATGAGAATGGAGCTAAAACATACCAACAGATACAAATATTGGAGTGAAATATTGAAAGAGATTGATAGGTTTCTTACACAGAACAAAGAGAAGATCGATTCAAAGTGAAGCTAAACCATCCAGAAATGCTAGAATAATAAAGGATCGCAAGATTACCGATAAAAATGTGTTAATCACTGTGTAGAGATGATCATGTGTCTCTCGAGCTGAAATAGGCACAATCTCCAAAAGATCCATGAATCGACTGGGGCCTAGGTAAGGATCAGGGGCAACTTGGGTAAGAAATTTATCCCAAAGATCAGCAACTATGGATGTACCATGAGAATTGACATGTGCATATAATGATGCAAAATTTGAAAAGATATCCACAATTGTTTCAAACTCATGGCTTGAGGTAATGGACTCCACACTTTTTGGAGGTAGGAAAACATCTTCTTTTTGTGCAAAATGTAACAGTGAGGTAATCTGAGCCTTGAGCTTCTCTTTTCTTCCACTGCTTAGATCAAGATTTAGAGCCTTTGAAAGCAGGGAGAACAGAAACCCTACGGGAATTACTCTACCAGTCTTCTTTCCAAGAGGTAGCAAATCTATTAGTCCATCTAATATAACTGTAATCATGCTATTTTCATGTTGAATTCCATTGTTTTCACTCATAGTCTCCAAATACAAGTGGGTCTTCCTTGAAAGAACCCATTTGTTAGCATAGAAAACAATGATGGGGCTTACAAATTTCTCTTCCATTCCTTGTCTTCTCATGGAACCAATAATCCTTTCAAAAATCCCAAAAGGAAGAGCAATCAAATCCTTGATCCATAGCTCCTTACCTGCAATTTCCCTCACAGTTTCGGAGTTCCATGGCTGGTTTGCCAATGCCTGCAAATTGGGTACCGGTTTTCCTCTTTGCTCAGGGTCTAGAACCTCCATGCAAGCCATGAAAGCAAGAGATTCAATACATCGACTCACCATTAAGAGATCTTCAGCCCAAGGAAGGAGGATTTGAGATTTTTGGAGAACAATCAGAGTATCCTCCCATCTCTGTAAAACCACTTGGTTAAGATAGAGATCAGACCTTTCACATAGGTTTCCTGCACTGTAATCCTCATGCATCTCTAGGAATTCAGCAGCACATCGAAGAGTTGCAACATTAAAAGGATCCATGGATAAAAGAACAGAGCCGTAGCAGAAGAGAGCAACCATTTCAAAAGCTTGTGGTCCTCCAGGGAATTGCTTTGGTAACTCCGCCTCATGTGAGACTGAGAGTGCACTTCTAAAGTATCCACTTTTTGCCATAAGTTGGTGCTGTACAAAGTAGAACAAAAATTAAAAATACAAAAATGAGTGCTGAAGAACAATTATAATTCATAAATCAAATTTTAAGTTGCACTCTGCAAACTCAGATTTCAAGTGATTTTAGATTGCCCCTTTTAAGTATCCATTTTTTGACATAAGTGGGTACTGACTAACTAGAAGAAACAAGAAAGGTCAAAAAAAAAAAGGAGATATTCAAACAAAATTTTAAACTGAAGTTCAATGAACTATATGTTCACAAAGAATCACTCCTTCCAACCTTGTGTAGATTATAAGTTTTATCTCCAATGCACACTCTGACTGTTGCTGGTAAACCAGTCTCAATGCTCCTGAAAACAAACATTAGTTATTCATTAAACCAAAGATGAACATTTATCAAATATGAAAACAAGAAATGATTAAGTTAATTGTTTATACCAAGCCTGTATCCTTTTCTTCAGTAATTCCCCAACAATTGGAGTAAAGAGAGGGGTCGAACCCAAAGAAGTGTATTTTGGGCTTGGAGAACCCATGCCAACCTTCAATAACCACAACAACTAGACTGTAACGCAATTCGAGAATCAGCAAAAACTCATGACAAAAAGTTCACAAGAGCTTCACATAGATCAGAATTTGAACCCCAAAAAGTACCCCAATGGGAATTCGAATACTTAAAACAAGCTTAACAAGCTTAAGAATTCAAAACCAAAAATTTTGAGCATATGGATGCGCCTACAACTCAGGTACAAAGCATCTGGTTCTTGGGTTACTGTAAATTCAAGCCTTTTCAAATTAAACAGTGAATTAGAATGGAGGAAATCCAAGCTCTACAAGTAAATGATCAGTACAGATGAAGCCTCGACCTCTATAGTAAGAAAGTGTAAGCTCAACTTTTTTGAATTTGACAAGGAAACTTGGAATGGAGTAAAGCCAAAGATCAGCTAATAAGTCATCAAAACAGAGGAATCGTAAGCTACTTCTAGATTGAGAAAATATAGAGAGAGAAAGCATGGGGAAGAGGTGGGTTTGAGTTGGTTGAGGCATTTTTGTCAAACAGTTGGCTGACCAAACTCAAGGAATTCGAGGTCAGAGCCTGGTTTCCTGGCTTCTAAACCGGGATATAGGGAACTGGGAAGAGAAGCTTATGCCTTAATAAACCCATATATAGACGCCACTTTATTATTATTCAAATGAATCATATATCAACGGCTGACGTGGAAACTGATGGTATCCTCAGAGTTAGCTCGGAACCCGTTAGTGGCCGGTTTCGGTTTTGGACGGTCAGGAGAATCAAGGTATTTTAAAAAAAAAAAAAATAATTATATATAAATTTATAAAAATAAAGAATTTGATTTGTAATACATTTTTAAATTTTTTTTACATTATGGTAAATATTAAAAATTGTTTTTGTCATTAATACTCACTTTTATATTTTCACATCTTTTTTAGAAAAATTTAAAAATAGCTATTGAAAAATATAAAATAGGTTAAATCCATTTTTTTCATTAATTTTCAACTTTATGTGAATATATTTTGTTTTAATCCTTCTTCATATGTTTTTCATATTTTAGTAGATTTTTTATTTATTTTTTTCAATATTTTTTTGACCGCCAGGGACTTGCCCAGTTAGAGCGGTTGAATCGACCGGTTTATCGGTTAGGCTAGTTAAACCGCTTTCAGGTTTTTGTCCGGTTAACCGTTCCGGTTCGATTTTACGAACACTGCCTCAGACATTATCATAAATGACATCTTATACAAAAAAAGTTGTTTTGATATTAGAAACATGTTTAATTGACGTCTCGACATCGAGAACTATAGATATGGAGAAAAGAGAGATTTTTAGTCCTAAAAATAGTATGTCTTACCATACATTATCTAGACCGTTTGTTTTTTAAATTTTCATGTTTATAGACTTATTTAATTTGAAGTATTTTTAGAATTTAAAATTTTGTATTTAGAGATAAAAATAGATTCCGCACCATAGTAAGAATTTTTTGGAGGTAAACCTTATTTTGATTGTTTAAGGTTGCAACCTCGTTCAAACTATCGGTAGAAGCAAGAAACGTTTTTTTAGATAAGTGGATTTTTTATTATTATTATTGACTAAATTAGTGAGGGATCTGAATCCCTCTTCTTTGGTGGAAGCGATCAAGGAAGTTGCTGGAGCATTTTGCCCGTTTTTTTACTTTTAAGGGTGTCTCCGGTATTTGAAGAAGGTTAGAGGTAAAACTGGTAAGGCATGCGACTTTCTTTCTCTGCCCCCCTTTTCTTTCTCTCTCTAAATTGTCGACCATTATCTTATTTCCCTCTTTCTTTCTCGCTCTAAATTCTTGACCATTCCCTCTCTCTTTCTCACTCTAAATTCTCGATCATTATCTTATTTCCCTTTCAGGCTTCTCCACTCTTCCCTGCAACTCCCGAAACGGCACGCCCTCTCAATAAATAAATAAGTCCCAAAAGATTTCCTGCTCTTTAGAAGTATTTTGTACATTTACTGTTTTTAATTAAGGATACTTTTTAGATCTCAAATTTTAGAGATGAGATCTCTATAACCCATAAAATAATCTCAACAAAAAAAAAATTTGAAATAAAATTATTTATAGAATTGTCTATAAAGAGGTTATTTAGTTTTTGTACTCATAATCATTCTCACTCATTAGACGTTAAACTGAATGGCTCGAGATAAGTAATGAAGTCTAAAAATTTTTTTATTTTTTTTAAAATTATGTGTCTAATAAGTGACATTCTTACAACCACCCATATTGAAATTTAAAGTGATTGTGACTTCCGTATACAAAAGATAAACGATCTCTTTCGTAGACAATCTCATTATTTATATATTAAAAAAAAGCTAATGCCATGCGACTGAATAGAAACTGTCTAATCTTTTAAGGGCTTGATCTAAATATCACAAAATTCAAAAATTTAAATTTTTTTATTTTGAAAATAATCATCTACTAACCCTAATATAGTTTCCAAAACTTTAGACAAAACAAATCCTAAATAGGTGTTTTGAGTGAGGTAATAGGTTAACACTATGCTCCCACAGGAGGACTCATAAAATTAAGAAAAACAGTTTAGCAAGAGAGAGAGAGCTCCAGGAGGCCTTTTCCTTAAAAGTTGAAAGAAGCATGATAGAGTGCCAACATTCTCTCTCATCAGATTAATTCTCTCTCTCCTCTCTCATCAGATTAAATTTGCCTCTCAAAGCCCTGTTGTGCACGTGGATGTGTGCTTGAAATTGGGATTTGGGGATTGCAGTTGTTGCGTCCAATCCAAGTTATAAATTCTCTCTTCAAAGATTTTTGGGCCCCTCAATTATAATGCTAAGTTTGAAAACCAAAATTAAGAAAAGAAAAAAGAGAGTTGTACTTTGTGAAGGTTACACGGGAAAGAAGAAAAAGTTATTACGTCCCGTGTGCTATGGCGTTTTTCAAATGATTTTACGCCTTGTTTTATACGTGAGCCTATAAAATAATGAGAGGAACACTATCGGTCATGTCCCTCTTTTGTGAAGATCTCTTTATTCATCAGTTTGTACTTTTGTTTACTATTAATGTGGTTTGCATAAGATAAGGTGCATTTCCAAAATTTGTCAGGGGACCCGTGTCAAAAATCTTCTTAGTTGATGCAAGAATTTATTTTTATCTCTAATTATAAAATTTTAAATTTCAAAAATAATAATTCAAATCAAACAGTTTTACAAACCCATAAAAGTCTTGAAAATAGATGGGTCAAATAATGTATTGCAAGTTGAATTATTTTTAAGATTTGAAATCTCTCTCCCGCTTTATTTTCCATGTCTATACATCTCGACGACGAGATAATCAATTTGATGTTTTTTCAACATCAAAGCAACCTTTTTCGATAGATTTTAAAGGTACACCGTAAGTTATACATTTTTTAAGGTGTCAATTTTATATAAACTTTTTTTTTACAAGGTGTCAATTTTATATAAACTTTTTCCTTGTATTTGATGATAACTTTTGCACATCTCCATTGCACAGTGGATATCCTCTCTTTACATCTGCAGCATCTATCATAAATCATACCATGATATCCACATTATCCATCACACAGTGGATACTCTATCCCTTCACATCTGCACCATCTATCATAAATCATCCCATGATATCTACATCATCTATTTTCAATGGACAATGCAAATCGTCCACTAAGATTTGCACCATCTATTTACAATTGACATTGAGACTGCATCCAAAAATCAAAATTTGGGTACGATCGGCACTGTCCGTTGTTAGGGGACACGGTCCAGCATCTGCATCTCTTGACACACCAAATAATTTATCTTACACAAAGATTACAAAACCAGATTTCTTCTTTGGGTAGGAATAAGTGAAAGAAGACAAAAGAACCTTGATTTGAGTGATGGCACCCCTATTGGTCAAGTTGTTGATCATTCCACCCTCTTAGTCAAGTTACTGATTTGAGTGAAGTCATTCCTTCCTGGCCAACCAATTGATTATTCTAACCCATTCCATATGATTTTGAGCACCCAAATGATCACCCCCTATAGGCGGCAATGACGACTGTTATCAATACCAACAGTGCATTAGGTCAACACATTACCTTCTATTGATAATCCTTGTTCACTAATCAAAATATTTGCCTCATTCACATCCATATTATTTTTAAGGATACTATTAAGTTCTAAAACTGATGAACTTTAGGTCTGAGACTAGCAACAATTCGATCAAAATATTACATCTTCTGAAGCTTGATCTTAATCCGATGTTACTGCAAAGAGCTGCACATGAGCAGCAAGAACCTCAAGGATGAGATCCCAAAAATGACCACAAGTTCACCTGTCATACTTTTGAGACCAACAATATGAAAAACAACTTTGCGAAGCACCAAGCTTTCTCAATTATGAAGATCTAATAAAATAACTTCCTGCACAACAACTCAATACTATCGACCGGACAATTAAGTAAAAAAGCCCAATTGGCCAGAGTTGCCATACAGATACAGAGTAAATTTCCCACAACAGCTTTAGCTACCAATAAGTTACAACACAGTTACACTCATTTAAAGCAGAAAAGAGCTACAGATTTGAATTCAAAGTCTTGAGCATAAAATGAGGATTTAACAGGCCCACTTTATGTACATTGAAGGCACACAAAACTAAATAAGCAAAACAGGAAAACAATATTGATCACCAAATTATAAACACCAAGACGATAAAACAAGATTCAACCCATATATTGGAAGGAATCAAGGAACTTGGAGTCAAGAGGGAACAAGTTGACTTGATAGTGGAGCTGCCTCTAGATAAACATCCTCTTGAATCTGTTGAGATTCCAGGACATTTCTAGCAGCTTCAATAACAACTTGGCCACTGACATAATGCTGCCTACAAACTGGCATATAGATATCGGCTCCACCAATTAGCTCCTTTTGTGTATCTCCAGTCTTTCGTAGCGTGAAAAAGGCCTTCTTTCCACAGAGCTCACAGCTGGCTGTTAATTTAGTAACAGAATCAGCTAAAGGGATGATATCAAGCATGGATCCAAAGCTCTTCCTGCCAACCAGAAATCATTTCCATATCAGTAAAGGTGTACAAACTTCCTCAACATAGTGTGTATCTAAAGAGCTCTCTTGATTATGACCTCTCCCCCCTCCTTGCCGGACCCCCTCACCGCACTCTCTCTCTCTCGTCCTCCTTCTCCTCGCTC